AATTTCCTCCTTCCTTTGTTTGGGCTCCAGTATTTTAAATGCTTCTAAGACATGCATAAGGTTTTCGGCGGCTTCTTTTCTCTGAAGTAGGGAACCAAGTCCTTCTTCATTGTCTGTTCTTCATCTGGAAGCTCCACTAAAGCAGTTCACTTTGAGTGGCTTTGCTGGAATTTGAAATCCAGTGACATATCTTCCAGCTTCACAGCAACACATAAGCCACCAAATACAACAAACTGAGAGAGAAGTGGTGGAAATTAATATTAACATTAATGAGTAGATATGAATATGCTGATTCATATGAATATGAATAGATTAATTTTAAATGGGCAGAAGGCCTGAATAAATAATGCACAAAAGTTGTCGTCTAGTTAGCCCCTCCAAAAATACGAAGAAAAGTTCCAGATTACTAGCCATATGAGAATTTCATATCAAAACAGTATTAGATGCCACTTTTGCATGATAGCAAAGTTTTAAAAAAACCACAATAACAAATGCTGGAGAGCATGTGGAGAGATGAAATCAACATACTGCTGATGGGACTTTGAAACAATACAACTTCTATGAAAAGTGGTATGATGCTTCCTCAAACAAATTGGTATAGATATATTGTCTGACCAAGCAATCTTCCTCATCCAAACTCACAGCCATGGGGTCAGTGCTGACTCACAACCAGCTGATAGGACAGACTAGAATTGCCTTGTGGGTTCCAAAGACGGAGGTTCCTTCTGGAACAGCAAGCCTCAGCTGTCTTTCTAGTTAGTATATACCCTAAATAAATCATGGATAAGACAGACAAAGGACATGTACACACTGAAAGTTATTGCACTATTGTCCATCATTGGAAGAAAATTGAAAAATAGCCAAAATGCCATTCAGGTTAGGAGTAGATAAAAATATTTGATACCTACATGCAATTGAATGTATACATCATTCAAGATCAATTATAACAGTGTAAAGCATCTGATGGCACGGACAGATTTGGAATACACCATGCTGAGAGAAGTTACCCAATCCCATAGAGAAAAATAATATGAGACAATTATTACAAATTGAGAAAATGGTTTTCACACCAAAAGAAGCAGGCTTCAGTGGTTACAGATGAGCCAGAGGAAGAGATTGTGAAAGTCAGGGAGTGGGAGGAAAATCAATAAATACAATTTATTATTATTAAAGATATATAGATAGTAAGACACAAAGATACATTAAAAAATGAAATTCTGTTTCCTGGGAGCCTAAAGTACATTTAAAAAACATAATTGTTAAGTCTGATATGGATTAATATGCATCCCCCAAATACGTGTTAGAGTCCTGATCCCAATACCTTTGGATGAAATCGCTTTAGATATACGATTGCCTTTGTTAAGTTAACAAGGTCACATCTGTACGGTGCGTGCTCAACTTGATCACTTTTGAGCCCTGTAAAGAACATCATAGCACAGATATAAACAAACTCAAATGGGGGGCATCTGTGTCTTGTGAAGATTGCCAAGGAATCAAGGAACAGAAGCTGAAAAGAGAAAAGAAATTCTTCCCAAAGCTGACAGAGAGGTAGCCGTTTCTCAAGTCAGTGTGCTGAATTTACACTTCTAGTCTCTACTGTGAGAAGAAAACCATCCTTGAAAACCATCCCCTTTTAGTACTCGCCATGGCAACCCTAGGGAGCTGAGACGATGTCAAATGCCATAAACACATGCTTAGCTATAAGGACTTAAAATGAAAGATAAAGTAAACATTAGTGAGTTCCCAAAGATAATTGAAAAGCTTAATCATACCATCATGGAATTCTTCCCCAAACTTTCTGAAGGCTTTAGTTTGCCTATGACAGAACAGTTTCCACCTTTGGGACAATTTGAAGAACAGAATTTCTAGAAGCTGTTTTGGCATAGGTCCTGAAGCAACAATATTTTCTGCCTGATTCAGCCCCTTCCCAGTTCCTGACCCAAAATAACAAATCCAACATCATTCAGGAGCGATCTGTAGTACCTGTGTCCCTTTCGTCTCTCACTTACGTGGTGGAAGAACAGCACTGGAGAAGGAAAATTCCATCCCAAGGACCATACCTGTGGTGTCCTGTAGAGCTCCAGCAGTGCCCCAGTCTGCACTGAGAGCTCAGAGGTGAGTGCTACAGTGACGGCCATGCCCTTTGTGTGTTTCTGGGAGGTGTAATTTGGTCTGGGGGGCTCACCTTCTGAGAGCCAGCCCAGGGTGCTCTTTAGGGTGCTAACATCGCTGGGATAAGCGTTGTAGAGCCGGAAACCCAGGGACATGTTGGGTAGCAGGTGGGGACTCCTATTAATCTCCTCGATGGCAAAAAGAAAGCCCAACACGTAACTATAGCCTCTGTGATTAAACCTGTACAAGGCCAAGAAATAAATAACTTTTAGGAGAAAAATCAAGTTGTACACTTCAAATCATATACATGCCTCCCTTTATGGTGCTAAACAGACATTGCGTTTTTTACAAATTGAAGGTTTATAGGAATCCTGCATTGAACAAGTCTGTGCGCAACTATTTTCCAATTCTGTCTTCAAATCATGTCTCTGTGCCACATTTAGGCAATTCTCATGCCACATTCTGGCCTTTTCCTTGTGGTATTGCACACTTATTGGGCAGAAGTTTAGTGTCACTATGACTTTCATATGTTCTGGGACGTTAAAAACTTAGTGTGCCTCACTTTATTGAGCTGTTCTAGAACCAGGCATTCACTGTCTCCAAAATATGCCTCTCCCAAACCAAGGAAAGCATTTGGGGCATTTGGGGGCCCAAAATTAACTCAGGGCAGGTATTGTTGCCACTGACAGTCTGAGGTCTCTAGCTGTGTGTATGAGGTTCCTGGAACCCTAGAAGGATCTGACTGTACCACCCGAGATAGGGAGGAGGGGTCAGTTACTTAAAGGCAGTTATTGGAGCGCTGTTAACAAAGTCCCTTGACAGGAAATAACCCACTTATATATGTTGTCATGTGTCAAACTCTGATTCATGAATGACCCCAACATACAGTAGGTTAATGTTGTGGAAAGGTAGATGAAGCAAACAATTGTGCTGCATTCCATGAAGCCAGGCAGGGGAGGAAAGCAAGGAGGGAAAGCTCAGAGGTACAACAATTTGACTAGACAAGAGCATCCTCAGAAATGTTCTGGATAAATGTGGACACCGCCATTCACCATTTCCACAAGTCCTACAGCAATGTGCCACGCCTTACACCCAACAACAACTTTCCCTTTGAGTCTGACAATTTGCTGGAATGTCTCCAAGCTACCTATCACAGGACATCCGCTCCCCCATGAATTCATGTGACGTTTACTTTGAGCAAAAAATCCCTGCCCCTGTGTCCTAAGGAAACAATTCTAAACCTTTGGATTTCTGAAGCATTTTCTTATCTTGGGCAGACCACATCAGTAAGGGAACCAAGTCTGCATTATCAGTGAGAACATTGCCCAGCATGCTCACTTTCTGTCATGGATGAGCTGGGAGGTTTCAGAGACAGAAATGGTCTCTGTAAGCCTGCAGAGGAGCAACTTGGATGGGCCCGGTGAGCCGCCCTTCCTTATGCCTTCAAATTCCTGACAACCCTCAATGGTCCCCCGGAGAAAGGACTTGAATGACTGGTCTCTCCACAAGAGGCATTATCACAGCCTTCCATTTGGATGTAATATTTTTCTTAAGATTTTCTTCAGCACTGAATCCAGTCTCATCTTTGTAACTCAACATCACCGCACACGTCTGAGGCAGGAATAAGCTGAATTTGGAGTCCTTTGCGGGGAAGGGTTGGTCCCTGGGTGACAGAAATGGCTTTCTTTAACTAAACACGGTGAGAGGTTCAAACTAACCCAACAATGGCCTGGCGAGAAGGTCCGGTGATCTGCTTCTGCGGAGAGTACCTCTAAGAACCCTTCAAGAGCACGGTCCTATGCTGTGACACACGGGGCCACCTGGCTTCACAATCGACTTTGAGGCAATGATTTGGGGGTTGGCCACGGAGGCTTTATGACATTGTCCATAGAATATGACAACATAAGCTTTCCTGAAGAAAATCGCTAATAGGGGTGACTGCAAGCCAGTCGAAATTAAAGGGTGTTTATTCTCTTTGTGGCTCAGAAGAAGAATATACCAGAAGGGAAACAGAAATGGAGGCAGAGTGGTTGTGATTACAACAACAAGCAAAAAGAACAGGGTTGCTGAAGTGGAGGGTCAGCGAAAGTCCAAGAAACCCTCTAGGCTGAGACAGTGGCTGCAACAGTGGCCACAGGGCTAGAAAGGACCACGAAGATGCTTCAGGTCTGGGGAGTGTTTTACTCTGCTGCACAGGAGGTCTCCATGAACCAGAGCTGATTACAGGCAAGCTACAATCTTGGGAAAGAAAGGGGCTTGTAAAACCATTACTATAGGGAGAATCTCTACAGACTTTCCAAATCTCTCTCTCTCTCTCTCTCTCTCTCTCTCTCTCTCGTCATTCACACACACACAGAGACATACACAGACACACAGAGACACACACACACGACTTACCAGTCAACTTTCATTTCTTTTGGATGGGGCATGAAAAATTTGCGGTGTAGTTCTGAGTCGTGTGTCAACGTGTACAGGGGGGGAAAGCCTCTGAGCACCAGGTCCCCGTCCCTGTAGACGCTGGGCTGCGTGAAATCTTCACATTCAGAAAGAGTCAATGGGCGCACTGGAGTGGGAAGCTGCCAGAGGAGAGGCAGAAGGCAGAGAGCATCCCACCTGTGAGTCACCAGCCTGAGGTAGAGCCCCGACTCCTTGAACAGGAGGAAGAATTGGAAGGAGCCTGGAAAAGCCAGCTTTATGCTGGGAAACACGGCACCTATGCCTGGCTCAGATGTCTGTGAGGTTGCTCTCTGTCCCTCCAGCCTCTGGAACAACACAGGGAGTTGCAACAAGAAGACAGAGCTGGAAGCAAGGAGGAGCTCCATATACATATTGATCTGTCCTCAACACCACTGTGGACTGCAGGGGCTTTGCTCTGCTCTTCCCTGACTTCCTCAGACCAGCTCCATCTGGTCACCTCTGTGGATAAAATCCCTTAGGGCTCTTCCTGCCCTACAGCTCCACCCCTGAGGCACCGCCAAGGTAAAAACACAGGTAAACAAAGAAAAAACAACATGTTTTCAACCGTTCAACTTAATTGGACAAGTGAGTTTGTTGCCTTGAGCACTGTGTTCTTTGAGAATCCCTATGGAATCGCACTGACAACAGTAACTTTGGGGATTAGGCTTGAACCTTGGGGACAGGGAGTTCATGTGAATACAGAAGGAACATCTCAAGAGAGCGGGCAAGGGTCTTCCCAGAACTCACGGAATGTCACCCATCTGGGTAATTGAATGGTATATGGAGACTTTGCCGCATTAATATGTGTTTTCCTGTGTATGTTGTCAGCAACAACAAATAAAACCATTTAACAAGAAAGACATATTGAGGTCATTTCTGTCGCTCCAGGGTCCGTGAATTTCATGACAGATGGGGCAGAGCTTCGCTCTGGAAATGCTTCTTATTGGTTCTGGCTTCTTCCTTTCGAATAACACGGATTTCACTGCAATGAGTGCCGTCGAGTGGAATTAGGATAGCCAGTGTGGCAGTCAGTCAAAGGTCTCCTTGCGATCCTTTGTGGTCCCGGAGGAGGGTACTGCAGTAACCAGAGAGATCACCGGATGTGCTTTAGGGCTCCTATCAGAACCCCAATGAGCCCTGCCTCCAGCCCCAGACTAAGGTCCATGGAACGGGGTCAGAAGAATGGACTTTGTGGTGACACAGTAAATGAGCATTCTCTATACTACTTTCCATCAGTTTGGCAATTGATGAACTAAAATAATGTATATCCACATAAATGTCATTCTAGTGTAAATTCCCTCGAAGGACGTCAGTAGTGCAAGGGGGTAAATCTCAACCCCTATTCCAATGGTAAGCAGTTCAAATAATCCAGCCCTCAGAAGAAAGGCCTGATCACAGTCACTGAGAACCCTATGGTGCAGCATTACCCTGTGTGTTTCCAGAAGAAGCTCTGAACAAGGAGAGGGAAAAAAGGAAAGAGATTTTCCTGGATGAATTTCAGCTAAAAATGTCACAAGCAATCATGCTCTCTTTGATGCCAAAAACTTACTAGACCTGAGAATATCTTATCTAGTCATATCTCCATGAAGGCAACAGGTGGGGCACTGGCAGATCTTGCCCATCCTTCATGTACCCCTCCCAGTCACCCTCAGCTGTCAAAAGACCCTTCGAATCCTGGCTTCTCCCAGCTCCACAGAACTGCAGGTCTGGAGGGAGCACTGGGGGTGAAGTCCTGATTAAGAATGAATTATGAGAATCGTTCAGGGCTTTTTTTAAGCTGAGAGGGCACAGGAATGAAAGAATACAGCAATACCACCAAAGAACAGCCTGGCTCTAGACCTTCTCCTGGGGAAAATCAGGTCTGGGGAGCAGTGGTCTTTTCAGAACTTGGGGACTGTGCCTGGTAAGATGTTGTTTTACTACCCTGTAGTCTTTGGGGATAGCAGAGAAGGGTAGAGATTAGGGATAGGGGGATGCTTCGGAGTCTGGTTAGGTTGAGAATGCTGTATTCTTATGATTTAAGCTAATGACCTTGAAGGAAAAGACCTCTGGTGGGTCAGGTGGGAGGGATGGGGTTTGCTCTTTTGAGATGAGTGGGCCTGGAGCTCCCCTGTCTTCTTTGAAGTGTTAGTTTATTCACCGTTTACACCAGTTCCAGTCTGCTCTCTAGCGTTATCCCTATGCAGATCCACAGGCTCTGCTGTCCGTGAGATATTGCTGTGAGGGGGTCATATCAGAGATCCTTGGGCTTGGACATAGAGCCAAGCCTCTTTGTGCTTGTTCTGCCCTAGGCTGCTCACGTGGATCTTGACGCTGGCATTTGGTCAGTCCAGCTACCTTAGCTGCCTCCGGGAAAGGGAAAAATAGATCAGGAGCATTGTGGAGCTGTGCTCTTCCAACTTGTCCTGAGGGCCAGTGACAAAGGGGAATCTATCAGCAGGTGCTGCTGCTCTTTGATTTTAATAAATTTGTGCCTACTTATCTTTATGCTGAGAATCACACTGTAGGAAAGTGTATGATATGCTTCCACATGGCCACTCTGCCCTGGTCTCTTTAGATTCCCTCCTTTGGGTGTTCGTTTTTCTCCATCTTACTCATACTCCTGATTTATTTTTCAGCGTTCTTTTGCTTAGTATTCAAGCATCCAACTGATTTTAATGCTCTCCTCGCTTCATTATCACAGGTATGAATCTGGTAGGTTTGGCTCTGCCACTGTGAATGAACATTGAAAATTTCGCTCTATCACTAACCCCCAATTCCTCAATAAACAGTTTTCTGTTACTTAAGAGTTTAATCTGTACACACCAACATGTATTGTGGCTCATTGCTAGCCTATACTCACATGATTTCCTTTTCTCAAGAGCATGTGAAATTTGGACATGGGATAAAGAAGACCAAAGACGAATGGATGGATTTGAATTGTGCTGCTAGAGACAACTATTGAAAGTGTCACGGGCTGCTAAAGGGGTCATTTAAACTGTCTTGGAAGTATGGCCAGAGCAATCCTTTGATGCAAGAATGGTAAGACTTTGTCTCATATATTTTTGACATGTTTTCAGGAGAGAGCAATCCCTGGAGAAGGACACCAGGGTAGGTAGAGTAAAGGGGTAGTGGAAAAGATGATGGACCTCAATGAAATGGATCGACACTGGCTGCAAAATGGGCTCAGACATAAGAAAATGTGTTTGTTCGGTGCTGCCTTGGGCGGAGTTTTCTTCTATTGTGCATAATGTTCCTACAGGTTTGCATGCACACAGTCACACCAAGGCAGTGGATGTGATGTCATAAGTGAACGATTGATACTGTAAAATGGTAATGATGTCTCTGACACATATTCATTGGTTTGGGGGTTTGACCCAATTCTCCCCCCAGTGTATGAACAATTAGCCCTTATGACATGGCCCCCACTTGATGCTCACCCTCAGGAAGAGATCACTGAAGATGTGTAGGCTATGGGAAATTGTGTGGGAGAAACGAGATGGTTCCCAGCTATTGGGATGAATACTGCCTGGTGTTTTAAAGGCTCATCTTAAAACAAGCAGCCATCTAGGCCGGGCGTCAACTAAGTCCAAATGCAAGAAGCACACCAGCCTGTGTGATACAGGGATTGTAATACCAAAATCCACATCCAAAGGAGGAAATTATATCAGTGCATAAATTGGGAACACCAGGTTTGAAGTCTATGGATAACAACGGAATCCCAGAATCCATTTGGAGGGTCCACACATAAATTGAGCCTCCTGAGGATCCGTTTTGAGCATAGTTGAGGGACGTGACTAACCTTGTTAGAAGACGGGGGTATTGTAAAGCTGATTGTGCCAGAAGTGGTTATGGTAAAACACAGTATCTTATCATTGATCTTCATTTGGACTTATTTTAAAGTTGTTTTAGTTTAAAAACAAAAAGGGATGGGGAAATACATGTGAATTAGGATTTTGGTGAATGCCCACTGACCATCGACAGGAATGTGAATAGCTTTGCGATCATGCAGAATCCATTGGAAAGTAGATTTCTAC